AAAATTTACAATATTTTAGTTATCATAAAATGGCAAAGGCTTAATTTTGAGGACAGATGAATTTTATTAAAAGTTGTAAATGTTAATAACGAGTAACATCTTCATTAAGTCCGATCCTATGCGAGATATGATCCACCATCCCCTCATCCTTTAACTACCAAAATTTAACAGCATCAATTCCCCAATATTCAAACCACCCTGCAAAAGGTAGTTTGAAATTTTGACAAAAGTCATCAGAATTATTAAGCTTCAAATTAGGTGAACAAAATTGTTCATACTCCACACACACACATCCATTACATACAGATAAAACCTTGAAAAAATTTCCCTTCCCTGTATTTTATCAATGTTTCAAAGTCCCAAGTCCAAAAATGTAAAGGTCATCTCATACTTTCTCTCCAATATATATAATCGAGCTGGGAAAGTAAAAGGCATGTTTTACCATCTAAATGTGATAAATGTTTAGACACAAGCCAAACTATATACTGTACACCTCCACGAACAGCATGGCACAAATATGGTGCTGGAGGCAGAGCAATGACGATTTAGTCACGTGAGATGATGATCATGCAAGTTCTGTATTACAGTAGAGTGTCGATTATCTGAATCAATTGGGGACTGGGGTTGTTTGGTAAATTGATATTTTGGATAACCGATTATGTACGAAAAAATACATTAACCTATCCCATGTTGAAATTTTTCTTTGTTGCTTCGCTTTGTGTTGAAGTTTTGTGGATGTTAAGCCTAACGAAGACTATTGTATCATTAAAAATTATTTTTTTATTTTGTACAAACAAAATAAATATATTGAAAAATATAAAAACAATAAAAAATTATACTTCAGAAGTTAATTTAGTATCAAAAACGTAAAATATTTGAGTAGCCGAAGACATAGCCAAAGATTACAGCGCCACAGCACTGGCGAAAATTTAAATTTGTCGACTGGAATTCCTTCGGATAACCGACCTTCGGATAAACAACGCTCTACTGTTTTAATATTCGGCTGCGAATGGTACAGTTCCTTAGAGTTAATATTAAGGAAAAAATGATATCTTAAATATTTTAAGATATTATATGGCTGATTTAATTGCTTACTACTTGATGGATGAACTTGTATTATTGCGTATCTTTCAAGTACCGCGATAAACGTAACAATGGAAGGCTGATATAACCAAACACATTTTATGCTTTTCGCTTTAGTGTTCGTTATATTGTAGTATTTGATTTATATAACTACAAAGGCAGTTATATAACGTTAAAGGTAGTTATATAGTTACGTAGGAGTATATCACATCGAGTGACCAATCTAAGACATTTTTAAAATTTTTTATTTTTACTGTACTGTACATAATTTTAAAATATGTTAGATTGGTTACTTGGTGTGATAAACTCTTATGTAAAGTAATTTTTCTAAATATATATCAAAAGTAAACAGAAATTTTGAGTAAGAGATTGAAAATTCAGCAGAAAAATTTTGAGATTAAAAGAGTTTAAGAAAAAAAATTTACACATTATTTACAATAACTTCTATAATATTCTGTATAATTTGAAATATTTTGATAAAAATAATGAACAATAGTCATCTTTTAAAGCTGCAATATAAACATTGAATATCAGACAAAAGACAGATTTGCCGTTCAATAACGAACAGTTGCAAATATTCTTTGTAATAAATTAATTCTGACTGTAGTGTATTTACACCGATTGCGTTTCGACACGTGGTTTAGTAGCGTCACGACATACAGTAAATACAGCTACGCTTGTCGAGCTTCATGGCCTCATGAAGCAGCGACATCTCGTGGTAA